CAGGGTGTCACCCAGGGGCTCAGAGCCCACACAGAGACACCCCAGGGCGTCACACGATGCTCACAGGGTCACAAGGAAGCAAATACGGCCCCTGACACCCGGGACACCAGCACAGACCAGTAACACCAGTACCCCCCCACAAGGCCCAGGCACGCCCCTCAAGCCCCTCCCCCCGGCCGCCCCTCCCCCACCTGGTTGGCCTCCATCCATCTCGCCGCCTCCTGCACGTGGTGGAACTCGACGAAGGCGAAGCCGCGGCTCTGACCTGGAACGGGCGGGGGGTTGGGGGGGCACCCAGGGACCCCCTGGGTGGGGAAGGGCCCCCCTGGGTGCTCCCAGGACCCCACAGGGTGGGGATGGGCACCCCTGGAATCCCCTGGGTTGGGTTTGGGTGATCGTGGGACCCCTCTGGGACCCCCAAGGAAACCTGGGAGCTCCTACAGACCCCTCTGAGCCCCCTCAAGAGTCTGGGCACCCCTGGGTGCCCCCTGGGAAGGGCTCAGCATCCCTGAGCGCCCCTGGGGAAGGGTCTGGCACCCCTGGGTGCCCCCAGCTTTGGGTTTGGCACCCCTGGGTGCCCCCTCTGTGTAGCACAGCACCCCTGGGTGCTCCTGGAAGGGCTCCAGCACCCCTGGGTGCCCCTTGGGTGTGGAGATGGCACCCCTGGGTGCCCCTGGGGAAGTGATGGGCACCCCTGGGTGGCCCTCAAATCTGGTGCAGCACCCCTGGGTGCCCCTAGACGTGGGACCAGCACCCCTGGGTGCTCCTGAAGAAGGGACTGGCACCCCTGAGTGCCCCTGGGGAACAGGACCAGCACCCCTGGGTGCTCCTAGAGACAAGATGGGCACCCCTGGGTGCCCCCAATTCCAGCACAGCACCCCTGGGTGCTCCCTAGGGATAAGATTTAGCACCCCTGGGTGCCCCTGGGGACCTGATGGGCACCCCTGGGTGTCCCCCAAGTCCAGATCAGCACCCCTGGGTGCTCCTAGAAATGAGACTGGCACCCCTGGGTGCCCCTGGGGAACAGGACTGGCACCCCTGGGTGCCACCTGGGAAAGGATGGGCACCCCTGGGTGCCCCCTAAGTATGGTACAGCACCCCTGGGTGCTCCTTGAAAGGGACAGGCACCTCTGGGTGCCCCTGAGGATGGGACTGGCACCCCTGGGTGCCCCCTAAGGCTGGCAAAAGCACCCCTGGGTGCCCCTGGGAAACAGGACCAGCACCCCTGGGTGCTCCTAGAGAGGGGACAGGCACCCCTGGGTGCCCCTGGGGACAGGATCAGCAGCTCTGATACCCCCTGAGCCTGGTGCCACACCCCTGGGTGTCCCTAGAAACAAGCCTGGCACCCCGGGTGCCCCCTAAACCTAACACAAGCACATCTGGGGAACAGGATCAGAACTCCTGGGCGCTCCTAAAAATGGGACAAGCATCCCTGGGTGCCTCTGGGGATACGACCAGCATCCCTGGGTGCCCCTCAGCATGGGCAGGGCACGAACTCAACCCCCTCCAAGGGATCCAAGTGTCTGGGTGCCCCCCACCCGCACCCCAACGGGATCCAGGTGCCCACCCCTCCCCCAGAGCAGGGCCCAGATGTGCAGAGAAGGGCCCAGATGTGCAAAGAAGGGCCCAGATGTGCAGAGAAGGGCCCAGATGTGCAGAACGAGCCCAGGTGAGACTCACCTGAGGACTTGTTGCGCATCAGCCGCACCTCGCGAGGCTGCACCCCCTGGGCCTGGAGCTGTGCACGGATCTGGGGGGACACGGGGGGACACGGGGGGACACACGGACAGAACCACATCAGGAGGAACACAGGGGGGCTACAAACACCCCAAAACTTGCTCAGGTCCCACCCAAGAGACCCCAATGCGGCTCCAGGGGGTTCCCAGATGTCCCCACCATGAACTGTCAGTTCCGCGGGGGTGTGGCCTAAGGGACAGGGGGTGTGGCTTCCTGGGGAGAGCTGAATTTGGGGCGGGGCCAAGAGGAGGGGCATGGCCAACCCTTCCCAGGGCCCTCCATGGACACTCAAGAGCCGGTGGCACAGAGCCCTGGGGGGATTTGAAGGGTCACTGTCCTCACAGGGGCAGGGCTCAGAGGGCGGGCCCAGGTTGGACTGGGGTGGGGCTCAGTGGAGAGGGGGCGGGGCCAGTGAGAAACCTCATACATGAGGCAGGGCCACTCTGAATGGAGTGAGGATCAACGGGTTGGGGTGGGACCATCCCTGGCAGAGGGTGGGTCCATCCCATATATGGGGCAGAATCATCTATGGCAGAGGGTGGGGCCATCCATGTGTGGGGTGGGCCCATGCTGGGGGGGGCAGGGCCATCCCGGGCTGTGGGTGAGGCTGCTGTGGGGGCGGGGCCGTGGTGGGGGCTGGGGCCTCACGTCGTTCTCGGTGGCCGCCTGGGGCAGCATCCTGAGCATGACGATGGTGCTGGCACGCGGCTCCTCCTCGGGGCCCTCCCGGTAATCCTGGTCCCGGTAGTCACTGTCGGCGCCGAAGGGCAGCGCTGGAGCCACGGGGGGGTCCCGGGGGGTGTCTCGCTTCCGAGGGGGCTCCGCAGCCTCGTAGGACGCCTGTGGGAGAGGGAGGTGTCGGGGGGGTCCCAGCACCCACCGCAGAGTGACCCAACACCCCCCTCAGGGTTTGACACTCACCTGCGGGGGGGTCCCGGGGGCAGGGGGCCCCTCCGGGGGTCCCCCATAGCCCCGATAATCCATGTCACGATAGTCGTGGTCCCTCTGGGTGCGGGATCCATCCTCGGGGGGGGGGGCGGGGCCCCCCCGTAACGCCCTGTCCGGTCCCCACGGCCACCCCTGCGGAGAGGAGCGGGGTCAGGGGGTACCAAGGTCCTCTCCAGCCTCGAAGGTCTCCAATGATTGTCCCCACATCTCCCCCTCAGGAACCCAAATGCCCCCTTGGCGGTGCTCAGTGAAATCACCCCCCATTGGAAGTCACCAAATACCCCCCATAGGTGGCCAAATGTCCCCATATGTGTCCCCTGTGGGGTCCCCAAATGTCTCCTCCCACGCAAAGTCCCCAGTGTCACTTTGCCTTCTACGAGGTCTCCAAAATATCACATTTTCCTCCGTGGAGAGTCCGCAAGTATCCCCTGAGAGCTCCCCAAATGATCCCCCCCAGGGCCTCGGTTTTGGAGTCCCCTGGGGCCCCCCTACCTCCGCTCGTACTCCATGGCACCGACACCTGTGGGGGTGGCAAGTGGTCAGACTGGAAGGGACTGGGAACGGAAAGCTGGGACCACTGGGGGTGGTCACTGGAAGAGCCTGGGTTTGACTGGAAAGGATCTGAATGAACCGGTGACGTACTGGGACGGACTGAGAAGAGACGGTTCTGTGACAAACTGGGAAGCGTCCAGGGGCCGACTGCGAGGGAAATGGGATGAACTGGGAGTCACTGAGAGCTGCACAGCAGAACAGCTGGGGAAGGAGCCCCCGTGATGCCCCGCCCCGTCATTAGCATACAACGCGCGCTCAGCCCTGGGTCCCACCCCCTCCCCATCAGCGCGGGGGGACCCGGTCCGCCCCACCCCTCCCGGTATTCCCGGCCTTGCCGGTTAACCCCACCCCACCCGATAAGACACGCCCCTCCCGGTCAGCCCCGCCCCTCCCGGTAATCCCGGCCCTGCCGGTCATTCCTGCCCCTCTCCGGTCATGCCTGCCCCTCCCGGTAATCCCGCCCCTCCCGGTCCTCCCCGCCCCTCCCGTTCGGCCCCGCCCCACCGAGCCGCTCGGACCTGCCCGCACGGCGCCGCCGCCGCCGCTCCCGAGCGCCAAAATGGCGGCGCCGCTCCCACCCGGCCTGGTCCGGCCCGCGCGCCCTCCCCCCCTGCCCTTTCTATTGGTCGCGATGCCCGCCCATCTTCGCCTCTCGCTCCGCCATTAGTCGTCGCGCCGGGGGGCGGGGTCTGCCCAGAAAGGGCAGGGCGGTGAGACAGTGGAAGGCTGTGATTGGCTCCACGGCGCGGGGGGCGGGGCGCTGCGAGGGGGCGCCGTCCCGATTAGGCGACGTGAGCGGAAGGGGCGGGGCGGAGCGGGGGCGAAGATGGCGGCGCTGGCGCGGGCGCTGCGGGCGCTGCGAGCGCTGCCCGGCGGGGCCCGGGGCCGCGCCGCGGGGCCGACCGGGGCCCTGGCGCTGCCGCGGCCGCTCGGAGCTGACCCGCACGAGGAGGAGCCAATGCTGGCGGCGCAGAAGAAGGTGGGCGGGGGCAAGCCAAGGGCAAACCGTGAAGGATGGGGCTGTGGGGAATGGGGGCGTGGCCCCACGAGGGGGAGTCCAGGGGGTGGGGGTTGGGAACAGGCGGGGTTTCCATGACAGCGGGTGGGCTGGGAGGAGGGGCGTGGCTTCGTCGAGTGGGCGGGGTTTCAGAGGGCGGGGCTTTGCATGAGGCGGAATCGCGCTGGGGGCGGGGCTTTGAGGGGCTCATTGATAGACATGCGTTGTGGGCGGAGCTTGTTTCTATTTGGGGCGGGGCCTGGTATTGGGGGCGGGGCTT